ATTTCTGGCAAGTTATTAAGCTTCCCTGTGTCTTAGGTTTTGTGCCTGTAAAATAGAAAAAATGATATTGGTGGACTGTATCTTCCCAGGTCATTGCAAAGGTTAAATAAGTTAACATATATAGAGTACATAGTAATGTTAACTGTTGTTATACAGATAAACATAAAGAACTTAAAGTCAGACTTATATATTCATGCTAACATTTTGTTGCATATCCTTCCAATTTTTTTCAACTTATGCTCAGATATATTTTTGCTTCACAAGAAATGAAATTTTATAACTCTTATTTACCACCTAACTCTACTCATGTATGGAGGTTTCCCCATAGAATTAACTCCAATTATTTGTAAATGTTGTGCAGCTCCCCATTTTATAGGTGGTTGATTTATTCAACAAGCCCTGGGCTCTTGGACATTGAATCTCTCTCCATCTTTATTATAAATAGTGCTGTGGTGAACAAATCTTGTAGAAAAGATGATCACCATATTTTGTAGCCTGCCAGCAAAGAAGTTGAGTGTAAGCTGGGTGTGGTGCATGCCTGTAGGCCTACCACTCTGGGAGGCTGATGAGGAAGATTATAATTTTGAGCCCAGCCTGGGCAACTTAGTGATTGAATGAGACCCTAGCAAAAACAAAACAAAACTACTACCTAGGGATGTAGCTTAGTATGAAGACCCAAGTACTACTGGGGGAAAAAAGTTTGTTTTCCATCCCTGAATCTGAGCCTGACTATGTGGCTTGCTTTGCCCAACAGGGGCATTAGCAAATAAAAGATTTTTATGTACTGAAAAGATTTTATGTTGTTGTCTAGAATCCTGAGACTACTGCATGAAGAAGCCATGGACAGATTACAGAGAAACAGGGCTCAGACATCCAGCTGAAGCCCAAAAATTAAAATGAGAACATCCTAGGTCACCCTAGACCATCTGATTCCTGCTGAGCTGGCCCAGTCCTGAAGAACCACCCAATTAAAAATAAGTGTTACTTTAGGGCCAGGGATTTAGCTCAATGGTTCCACCACCTGCCTCACAAGCACAAGGTCCCAAGTTCAATCCCCAGTACCAAAAAAAAAAAAAAAGTTATTTTAATCCACTAAATTTGGAATGGTTTGTTATGGAGCAAAAGCTAACTGGATAATGATTATTTCCTAGAACATTTTCCTAGAAATGGACTGCTGGGTCAGAGTGCGCACATTTTTATGCTTTTTGATTCATACTTCTAAAAAAAGTTGTGTCAATCTGTAAACCACTAGCAGTGAGAGTCCCCATATCCCCTTCTGAGTCAATGCTAAACACTGTTGCTTCCTGTCACCATCAGGACCACACTGTGCTTGTAAATTTGAGTGAACTGTCAGTTCCCTCTCAATTCAGAATCAAGTTAGAGAAATAAGGACAAAACAAAGTCAGAGCACAACGGTGAGAAAAATAGGAGAATAGAGAAACAGTGATAAAGGAAAACACGAAAGTGATAAACACAGAGGAAAGAAAATAAAATTATACAATAGGGCCACTTCTAAGCCTCTTATACATAGGTATTTAACGTGTAGTCTAGAATAGTTTATGGGCCTAAGAAATTATTTTGGTCATGAAAGAGACTGAGCATGAGGGCGCACACCTGCAGTCTCAACACTTGGAAAGCTGAGGCAGGAGGATTGCCATGAGTTTGAGGCCAGTCTGGACTACATAGGGAGGCCCTGTCTCAACAAACAAAACGATACAAAACAGAATGAAAGGAGAAAAGAAAGAAAGGGAGGAGGGCAGCAAGGAGGTAGAGAGAGAGTCATGAAAAGATAATGGTCATTTAGGTCAAACCTGGTAAAATCTGACAAAGCCATAAACAATGCTGTAACATCTCAGGGTTTTAATAACACTGTAAACATTTAATTATCTGAAAAAGAGATACTTGGTTTCATTTTAGGGGTGAGGAAGATTAAGTCAAAGAACTTGGTAAAGATACCTGCTGGTTGAGAATCAAGCCCAATTTTTTATTCTGGTGCCAGGGATCGAACTCAGGACCTTGAGCTTGCCAGACAGATGTGGCACCACTGAGCTACATCCCTGGCCCCAGCCCAGATTTGAGTCCAGGATTGCCTGGCTTGAAAAGTAAGGTGTTTCTTTTACCTACTCGTCCTAGAGGAGATGTGATAAAAGATTAGCAACTAAAGCTGACAGGAAGAATAGCCCCTTTTTAATTTCATATTGCTGAAATTTACAAAAAGGAGTCTGATGCCCTGGGTTTGAATCCAGCTTTGCCACTTGGCAGCTGTGTGGCCTCTCTCTGCCTCAGTTTCCTTATCTGTAGAATGGCTTCATGAGTATCACGGGGGTAAACGTGTACATCGATGTTAAGGACCTAGAACCCTGTCTGGCACATAGCAGTGCTTCCTAAGCCCCTATTTCTGGTGTGGTGTTACCGAGGCCATTGGACTAACTCTGATGATCTTGTTGCCACGAGGTCCTTACACAGTAGCTGCGGTTACAGCCTGTGTTAGTCACTTTCTTTGTCACGTACACACAGTTCCCAACACCCACAACTTAAAGGAGGAAAGTTTTATTTTGGCTCACAGTTTGCAGATGTTTGGGCCCATAGTCACCAGGCTCCAAGGCAGAAGAAGAGGGCGGAAGGGCCTGGGAGGAGGAAAGTTGCTCACCTCACAGCATCCCAGAGGGAAGCGGCCGTGAAGGGAGGGGCGGGGAGGGAGCTACACCCTCCCAGGCCACACCCACTGTGACCCAACTCTTCCCAGCAGGCCCCACCTCCTTACAGTGCCTTCTGCTGATCCACCGCTGAGTATAATATTCCAAGGGGATACTGGGGGACATCTAGACAGAAACCCCGGCAGTCACACTACCTGGTTTCTGATATCCGGTTTTGTGGGGGAAGGGAGGAGCGTATTGTGACCCGGAATCCCCATCCGAGTGAGCAGGAATGACTCCAGAGGGTCGTCCCAAACAGACTTCCCAAGGCCTTGCCCCCTCAGACCCCGGTGTAGCTAGATGTAGCCATCTGCATCCTCTACAGGCGCCCTCTAGCCTTACAATTCCTGTTTCTAGCTATAAGATTTGAATAATAATAACAATTAATAATAACAATAACTGAAACAATGATAACACACCTTGTACCGGGCCCATCCAAAACACTTACAAATACCTTTTCAAGTTCAGCTCTTGGAATGACCCTTTGAAATGGGCACTGTTCTTATTTCCATTCTACAGATGGGGAAACTGAGTTTGGAGCCAGTGACGCCGATCTGTTAGTTTTCTGTTTGAGAATATGCAATTCTGGAGTGGAAAAAACGCCCAAGAAAGCAATCCAACACTTGTCAGCCCGATCCATTCATTCATCCTCACCCTTTCTCAGCCACGGGGAATGTTCCATGCTAGAACCACTTGGCGCCACACGACGTCTGAGAACTGGGGTAGGAGTGAGGAAATGCATTATGTATTTGCTGCCACTTCAAGTCTTCTCAGGTCGAATCCTCTGTGAGCGGGGAGGGAAGGATGAGGCTGACTCTTTCCCTGGTTGTAAAATACACCAGGCTCTCTGTGTGCAGCAGACTGTGACAACACCAGGCCTGATTAAGGAATAACAATATGGAAAGCAGATGGCAGATGCATGGATGCCACACTATCGCTCCTGTTAAATATTGCTCCGGCTTTTTTTTTTTTCCTTCCTTGTAAACCTCCCAAATAAAATCGTGTGCTTTCCCCAAGTTAGAAGTGTTAGCATGTCTTTTCTTTAAATATCCGTGCATGGCTGTTTTTTTCCCTGCCGATTTGTCACCATCTGTAACCCTCCCTTCAGGAGATGAACTGCCGACAGCAATTATCTCGGAGAGGGAAAGAGCGGTCTTGCAGACGTGTAAGAGTGGAAGTCCGCTAGTGTGGGCTGTGTGGAGTGTAGGTGGCCCCTGCTCTCAGTGTGCGGGCGCACCCAGGGGCAGTGTGGATGCGTTGTGTGCACACGTTGTGAGTGTGCAGAGTGCACGCACGTGTCTGAGTGTGCATGGGCTGTGCGTTGGGCCGTGTTTTTGCCTGTGGACCCCGGTCTGTGAGCCCCGTGTAGGCCTCCTGTGGATGGCTGCTGGGGGCGCTCTTTGTGCAGAAGGCCCGTGCCGGCTCCTGGAGGAAGATGTCCCTGGGGAAGGCATCGTTGCTCTAAGGTGTTTAAAGCGACTGGGGAGGGCCTTCCATTTGGAGAATGGGGGCAAGGACTGTGACGGCCCGAGTCCAGGGCAAGAGCGCCTTTGAGATGGAGGGGTCCCCACAGGGCTGGCGGCCCGCGCTCCG